TTGGCCGATCATTTATATTTTGACAGTCTTTAACTAACTGTGGTTCAGGATCTTCATTTTGCATAATATTAAGAGTCACGTTAAAGGGGGAAAATATTGCCTATAACAACATTATCCCGTTCTCATAATTTATGAGATAACATATAATTTATTGAAATCTCATTATTTTCGGACACTTGAATTCTTCAAAAATCATATTTTCAATATGTGATTGATCAATCTTTTCTTTTTTGAGGCATATAATCTTTCAAACCAACCGGTCAACCACGCTTTTAGCGTTTGCTATAACAAATTGTCCTACAGAGATATCAATTTTTGTTGAAATATTTTCTACTAAAATATATGATTTGTCACTTTTCTAGTGTCAATAAATACATTAGGTAAATGATTTACAACCTTTTGCAAATAAATGATTTTTTTTTCAACCTCTTACTCACATTAATTGTTGCGGGATCGAGGTGAAAGAGTTAATTCATTCTAATAAATTTTACTTTATTTTTCATGATGTAGATTTTCACCTCCCAAAGTTGGGAGGGTCATTTCATTAAAATGATAGTAAGCAAAACGTGTAGTAAATAAATCACCTATTAAAGGTTTGGGATACCTAATAATAGATAGTGAATTAAAACCTATTTTTCATTGGAGACCTATTTGAAATAGGAACTTGAATAGCACGACCAAAATCTTGTAGGTGAAAAATATCAAGTTCATGATCAAATGCAAGTTGCAAAAATGAATATCAATAGTATAAAGTTGGTCTTATACGAACCAAGGATGCAGCATGTAATATGGCATGACCCCAAATAGAAGCTGGGAATTTTATTTTAATAAGTAATAGTCTAGTAATAGGTTGTAGATGTTTAATAAACGTTTCCGCTAAACCACTTTGTGTATGAACATGTGCAACCGAGTGTTCAATTATAATCCCAATTGATATACAATAATCATTAAATGCGTGTGATTTAGATTCACCAGTATTGTCAAAACGAATAGTATTAATTGGTAATTAGGAAATTGTGCTTGTAATTTTATGATTTGAGCAAGTAGTCTAACAAAAACTACATTCATAGTGAAAAATAGGTAAACATGTGACCATTTAGTAGAAAAATCAATTAATACTATAAAATAACAAAATAGTCCACATGGCAGGTATATGGCTCACATATATTTCCATGAATTCTTTTCAATAAAGTTGGTGATTCAATATTGATATTTTGTAGTGGATGGTCAATGACTAATTTGCCTGACGAACAAGCTGCACATAGATAATCATTAGGTAAAAGAATCTTTTGGTTCTATAAAGAATATCAATGTGAGTTGTTTATTATTCGATGCATCATCATATTTCTTGGATGTTCAAGTCGATCATGTCAAAGTATAAATTTTTTTGGATCAACGAACTTCTAGTTCGTGACGATATTTGATTCAACAAATTTTATAAATGTATAATATATGCTAGATGAGAGTGCATTAAATTGCAACGAATATCTTTAAAACTAATCAATTTTTTCTGGATTTGCTAGAATAAAGTGTATCGTTAATATATAATTTTATATTATTAGGTAAAATAATATAAGCTCTTTAGGAGTATTCAACGATATTCGATGCATCTGATATCGCATTAACATTATTTTCTGTTAATGTTAAGTTTAAAAAATATATTTTTTTATCTTGAAGAATGATATGTGTAGTTGCACTATAAATTAAATAGGTATTTTGACAATCCATCATGAATCTAAATATAACAAAATGGATATATTTAAAAAAATTTAAATTTAAATTTAAAAGGGAAAATATTATTCAATACTGTGAAATTAATGATGTATAATAAAGTTTCTTTTTTTTTTTTTAAATTTTTTTTTTTTTTTTTTTTTTTTTTTGCAAAAACTAAAAATATATTTCGAACTAAATTTCTAAAATAAAAGGCAAATACTACAGATGTGGAAAATAAATTAATCTATATCTTTCATCACACCACCTCCAATCAAATGATCAATATTATCATTTGGACCGGCAAAAGAATTAGAGACATCCAAATGAATTACATCAATCGGACTATCATAATCGGCAAAATTTGTCTCAATATTAAACTGAGAAGCAAGATATTCAAAATGACATAAAGTAAAATAGCTCAGGAAATTAAAGATTCAACACAAAATTTCTTTCGGCCTAAACCCCGAAGGTTCGGCGACCACTTCAAACGCCTACATCCCTCGTTGTGCATCCAATAAGTTGGATTACACTAGTGATGGCAATTTACCCCGCTCCGTCCCTTCCCGGTGTCGCCCCGTCCCGAATGGAGCAAAAAAACCCGCCCCGTCGCGGGGCAGGGATGCCCCACCCCGAACCCGACCCGTGAATTTTTTTTTTTTAATACTTGTAAATATGAAGATAGAAAATTTCTAATTATTTGTTCATCCAACCCTTAATTTATCATAACTTTGTTACCAATTAGCTAATTGATTGTTAATTATTTGTTTACATACTTAATTATTACTATTATAACATATTTAGAGTTCATCTATGTAACATATTTCAAAATCGTTTTTATTTAAACTTATTTTCTATCACAATTTTTTTAATAACATAATTTACATGTAGACCTATAATTTTTTCATACTTTTTATCCACACATTCTCTAAAAATCATTTTACACTATAAATAATTTTATCCCAAAACAAAAACTTAAATTTACATAAAGTAAGGGTATTCTTTATTAAAAGTTCAACTTGAATGTTATCCATATTTTATTGAACTCGGAATTAAAAAAAAAAAAATTAAACGGGGCAAGAAAATTGCCCCGCCCCGCCACGCCCCGTCGAAGGCAATCACTAGATTACACTCGATTGCATTATAACAGCCAAAATTGGCAATAAAGGATTACAAATGTTCAACAAATATGAAGAGATAAAGCAAATACACTTATTTCTCAAGATCGACCAAACACCTTCGAAGAATCACAAAGAATCTTCACTGCACTTTTCTCAAAACATCACAACTCAAGAGCTATGGTTTTAACAGATAATCACTCAGAATATCTAACTATATCACTAAGATTTACAAGTTTAAGATCTCAAATCAGAGATTTGAGCCAAAGAATCAAATAGATAAAACCCTAACCAGACAAGAGGATTTTTTCTCTCTCACAAGAACCAAGAGTCAAACACGTTAATTGGGAGAAGAGCATGCCAAGTGAAACGACATCAATAATAGAAGGTTCAAGATCCAATCCAACAGTCCAAGTTAAGCCACGTGTCTCCATCTAGTTGAAAGTATCAATTTAATAAAGTTGTAATTTCATAAAACACGACTTTCCAATATTAAAAATTTTGGAAGCATATAACAACGGTTCGAGTCTCACATAGAGGAAGAGGAAGAGGAAGAGGAAGAGGAAGAGGAAGACGCTTACACATTGTAATTTCTAGAAGGTAGAAAATAAAGTGTAGTTTGACTTTGACTTTTGTAACTTGGAACTTACAGTCTACACGGTATAAAGTTGTGTTGGCGGCTTCATTTTATTTTTTATTTTCAGTAATTAAATAATTAAGTTAACATGTGAACCATTGAATTCTAAGGAACCATTCTAAAAATTAATCATTAACAATTAACCTAAGTCCGTTTGATTTAGCAGAAAAGAGATAAAATTTAAATTAAATTAATAATTAACTTTAAATATATATTTCAGAAAGAATAATATTATTTACAATCGATCACTATCGCAGTCGTCTTACGTGATATATATATAATGATTAATGGTTTGATACATAAGACAATAAAAAAAAGACTTCGCTATTTATACATCCGAGGTTAACACTCAGAATGACACTCCCCTCACAAGAGGGGGGTCCACAATTATTTTATTACGTGTGGACCCCCTCTCTTGTGAGGGGAGTGTCAACTCCAAATGTACAAATAACTTTATTGATAAAAAAAATTACAACATTAATGCATCAAATCACTAACTATCATATGTATATAATGTATGGCGATTATGATAGTGAGCGATTTCAAATGGCATTACTCTTTCAAAAATTCATATTTTTTATCAAATTTTTATCAATCTTTATTAAAATTACTGAAAATGTATTTGTTTTAGCAAAAGGGCTAAATTCTGTAGCTGTCGTGTGTGATCCGCTTAATTGCCCTGAAAGTGATGGCAACTTATTTGTTGACAGCCATAATGGCTGAAGCAAATGGGCATTGTAAAGTGAGACCTAAATGCATTGAATTTGAACATGAAAAGTTTTTTACTTCGTCCGTTAAGCCTCGTTTGTTTGACATTAAAATTAAAATTTGAGTAAATTTTGATAAAAAGTAATGAAAATTATGGTTAAAAAATTGTGAATCCAATAAAACATATGATTAAAATTAACCGTTAACTTTGACTTGATATTTAAGGGGGCTTATTTTAATTCAAATCAAACAAGGGCTAAGTATTTGTTTGGCCTCCATTTTCTAAAATTCATTTTTTTTTTTTGGGTAATTTATAATGGGGTTCATAACTTTTATCAACTTTCAAACCATATATTTCATTATTTTAATTAAAATTTATTAAAACTCTAATTTACCAATAAGCAGGGACGTATATACCCCATTTAATTTTTTTTGGGCAATTTTTTTTTTTTTTTTTGTATATGATTTTTTTTGAGTAATTTTTTTTTAATTTTTATATATTTTTTACATATTTGCCCTGCTTGTAGTCTGGTGATGGATTTGTCCCTACTTATAAGTAAATCTTTTAATATTAGACAAACATTCTCTTACTAGTTACTAGTGAGGGGTTGTTGAAAGCAACTAATTAAATAGAGATTTTAGACAATTTCTAATACAAAAATTAAGATATAAACAAATTGAGTAAAAATAATATCACTATAAAAATAGGGCTCGAGTATACAGCAAACGGTACACACTGGAAAAATATATATTATTCCCAGATTTTACACTGTATTAAAAAGTTGAAGAAAGCCCAAAATCACTCAAAATATGCTTATAGTTCATATCTATTTGCATCTCAAGTCTCCAATTAATTCCTGTCTCAAATTAATTGCCAGGATGCAATCCATTTCTGTGGATTTCTTCTTCTTCAGTACTTTGAAGAGCTCCACTTTACCATTCAATGTAGACTTGCTCTTCAAACTTAGAACCCCAGAATCAAGATCAGATCCAAGTTGTGGGACATTGCTTAACGACAAATTCACAAAGATATTAAACTTCTTAGTCGAACGAGCTCTGGCGCGTGCTTCAGGAACAAAGGCTTCCCCAATGATCAAGCCATCGTAGAGGAAGTTGATCGTGCTATTGTGAAACTTGTAGTGGCCAAAATTTGTGTTCTTGACTCCAACTTCAGCATTCATACTTATGTTGAACGAAGGATTAGTGTTTGAAGAGAAATTAAAGGTATCGAATGTTGCAAACTGAACCCTGAACTTTGGTGTTCGTATTTTCATGACAGTAAGGGCAAAAAGCAATATAATAGCGGTTTGAAACACAGCAAAGATAGCAATATATAATAAACATTTCATACGCTTCTTTTTGCGAGCTTCTTTGGAATGCAATACGGCTGTTTCTTCGTCATGTTTGGTATGACCGTTGGCTTGGGATGTTGGATGAATTTCCTGATCTTTGTCGGTCATTTTTATCAATAAGAAAAGGTGCAGAATCTCAATATTAAGAAAAGATCTCTGGCACGAAATTCCAGTAGAGATATTTAAACAAGATTGGAACTCGTCCGAATTTGACTTGTTCGAGTTTTGTGAGAATGGTGGATACAATCGAGCTATATATGTAGAAGTATAGAATTGTGGTGACAATTAGGGTCTATTCAACAGTGAATAAGAGAATTAATTTTTTGACATTTAGAAAGAAAAGTGAATTCTATTTGTGAGTGAATAAGTAAAAAATAACGACATCACAATTGAAATAATAAAATAATAATTAAAAAATTAATTTTTTGGATGAAAAATTGGTATCAAACGGGGATAAACATGGGCCCCACAATACAAGGAACCATCCCACATTTCAAAGCGCGTAAGTATCTAGATTATAACATCTGAACCAATCTCTGACAAGTGAACGCGTGAGGACAATTTTTTTAAACCTTGACTGAATAGAAGCTTCTGAATTTTTCCGTTTTAAGTTAACAAAATTTTCATTTGGAGCCCCCTCCTCTTATTTTAATATAAAATCAGTCCTCATTGTTTTGTTAAAAATTTAACTATGATTGGCACCTGTGAGACACACCCGCACAATTTCTGGTAGAATAAAAAAAAAAAAAAAAAAGAGAAAGTACACATACGAATCTGGTCCAACCCACTAAACCACTCAAAGAGGATAATTTGAGTTTTACTTCTCGACCGCCAAATCATGTCTGCGATCGTTTTTCAATTTTACCTTATCTAAAATAATTGTATTCAAATCTATCCTTAAAAAAGAATGAAACTTGGACAACTATTACCAATTTTATCTCCTCTAAAAATGATAATTACAAATTTTCTTTCAGTTTTACCATCTTTGAAATAATTATTCAAACACATCTACCTCTTTTCCATATATATGAGCATATATTTAATTTTATTCTTTTAAAATTATTTGATGATGAACTTTCAAACATGATTGGACTTTTTTTTTTTTTTTTTTTAAATAATTACTAAAAAGCACTCAAAATCGAACCATCAATTTTGAGATCGACATCCCTAATTCATCATTTTTTTAATCAATTTGAAGCATCGTTAATTTGTAATGAAGGGATTGTGCGATTTGTTTTTAAATTAATAAATTTAGAATAAAAAGACAATTATCATTTTATTGAATGAGCACATTGATTACCAAGTCAATTGTGCCCCTACCATGTGTGAATTGGATAATGGAAGTGGACCTATGTTCCCTCTTCTAGACGATGATAATGATATTCTCCTTTCTTCCACTTGTTATAGAAATTATAATAAATTAGTCGAGATTTACTTACTAAAACATATATATTTCACACATTCCACTAAACTTCCTCTCATCATTTTCATCTTGACGTGTTCCAATAAGATGTAAGGTAAAAAATCCATTGGTCACCAACCTTTGACTCGCATTTCCCATTGGAAATCAAGCAATATATTTTTTTTATAGAATTTTTACAGATTTACACTTGTCAAGTTTTCATTTACAGTTGACAAAAGGATAGAACACTTCCAATCAGGTGCATTGGGCTGCACCTGTAAAAATTCTATAAACCAACTATCTGTACACATTTTTTTTTTTTTAAACAGCCCATCAAGCATTTTATTCATAAAACCCTCACTTGAGGCGGAGGAAAACCATAATAACAGTCCATCAATCAATAAAAAATAACAAATAATCTAATCTCTTATGTAACCAAATAACAAAAATAGTCTATCTTTTCTAACGAATGTACAACACGCCCATCCTATCTAGATGGATCAACCCTCGACAAAGTCTTGGTAGTTCCATACATGATAAGAACCGTTCTGTCTTCCCCTTCGCACCAAACTTCGCCAACTCGTTCCAACCTGATTAGCTTCTCTATACTGATGCATGATGTGAAAGTCAAATTTCCTGAGAAGCTCAATTAGAACTTTCCAAAAATCCCACAAGTACCATAGTGCACATTTCCTTGCCAAAATCCAGGAGACCACCAACAACGAATCATACTCAATATCCACCTGAAATAATCCTAAATCCTGACACAAGGTCAATCCATCAATAACTGCCCTCAACTCCGCTTCATTGTTAGTGTCATATCCAAAGAAAGAAGAAAAACTTGCTATCAACCTACCCATATCATTCCTAACAACACCACCATCAGCAGCCATTTCTGGGTTACCTAGATAGCTTCCATCTACATTTAGTTTTATTTTGCCAGCCGGAGCTTTAGCCCATTTAACAACCCGAAAAGGTCTCTCCTGAGACACCATTGTAGTAATATCAAAGTTTCTAAGAAGTAATTCATCTGACTATGAAAGGGCTCGTTCCTTTTTCAGGTTCGATGACGCATGTTGCAGCCAGAATTTTATTGAGTGGAGAATCTTCTCCACAGTTTCATGAACACCTTCCATTCTTGCTTTACAGCGTCTCATCCATAGTCTCCACGTAAGTATAGTTGGAAGTAGCCCTTGTAAGCATCCAACCTGTATTTTTATCTGCTCTGGCCCATCATAAATTTACTCTATCATACCAGTTTTGTTTAGATCTCCATCACATGCCCAACGCCACCGAAACTGCTCTCCAAACTTTATTTGCCACCTCACTTGTACTAAGAACATGGTTATTAGATTCTTCCCTTCCCATAAGCAACAATCACAACGAGAAGCTAAGGCTATACCCATTTGACGAACTCTATTATCAACACTTAGAGCTCCAGAAAAAGCTTTTCACATTATCACTAACATTCTTTTTGGGAGTGCATAATGCCATACCCATCTTCCCCAAGCAATTTGGGGATGTCGAACTATAATCATGTCCCACACAATCTTGGAAGAGAAGGTTCCTTAACTACTCGATTTCCAAATAAAAACATCATCCCCTCTCTACATTTACTCACCTTAGCCATAATAGCGGCTTTGTCTTTCCCTACAAGATGCAGTAATTGATCCACATTCTAGCTACTATCCAAGCAAACATCTTTAATTCTATGAGTTGCTTGATCAATATGTGATGTGTGCCTTGACAAATGGCCATCATCTAACCAATGGGCATACCAGGATGAGATAGAACCCTCCTTAATTTGCCATTAACTGTGGTTAATCACATCAGGAATGCATTCCACAATAGAGCACCAAAATCGAGATCCTATACCGTGCAAACTGGAGACATCAATCAAACCATGCTTAGTATATTTTGTCGAAAAAATGTTGCCCATAAGCAATCCAATGACAGTAGTTTCCATGCAAACTTCATGTGCCAGGAATGCTAGACATCTTCTAATTTTCTAACTCCGATCCCCCCTCCTCCACTGGTCTGTAATGTTTATCCCAAGAACACCATTTTTTCCTAGTTTTCCCATTAACCTCACCCCAAAAGAAGGATGAGAGGATGAAATTAAGTAGAGGATAGAATTAAGTCTCTTAAAAATAAATTTTAGAACATTCAGCACAGACAACAAATGTGTAGCCATGCACGTGGGGACATGACAAAGTAAAACCAATTTGTCCCCTTGAGACAACAATTACAACTTCCAACCTGCAATTTTCTTTCTAATTTTCTCCACCACAGACTCAAGATGGTGAGCAGTTAATCGACCTTGGACAATTGAAACTCCCAAGTAAATAACTGGAAATTGAACCTCCTTAAAACTAGTCGTCCTTAATGTTTCTCCTTTCCGAGCCACTGAGCAATGCTCTGAGAAGAATATAGCAGACTTCTCATTGCTGATATTTTGACCGAACCAGCTCTCATATAGGCATAGAATCTTCATGAGCTCTTTGACAAACCTTTTCCCTCCATTGGCAAAAAATACTAAATCATCAGCATACATCAGAGTTATCGCAGTTGCACCCCTAGGATGTGAGAAATACCCAATCCGTCATTCCTTAAAACCCTTTTTAGCAATCTAGTCAGCATCTCTTGCATGATAATAAACAAATAAGGGGATAAATGATCTCCTTGACGAAAACCACGTGATGGTTTAAAGAAACATTGCATGGTTCCATTCATCATTACTGAATACCATGGCTTGGATATTCGATCAATTAACTTGCAAAACCTCGTCGGGAACCCAAAGGATGATAAAACATGAAGCAAGAACTGCCACTCCACCCTATCATATGCTTTAGCCATACCTACTTTAATAATCACATTTCCAACACGAGTCTTTTTATTCAGAGAATTCACTAATTCTTGAGTGAGTGTAATATTTTCAAAAATACTTCGACTTGGGATTAAGGCTCCTTCCTCTTGAGAAATAACCCTAGAAAGTATATCACTCATTCTCTGCACCAAAATATTCGAAAATATTTTATACACAATAGAGCAAAGACTGATTGGTCGAAACTTATCAAAACCACTAGGATTATCCACCTTTGGGATCAACACAATATATGATGATGTATAAAATCGAGGTAGCACCCCTCCTTCAAAAAACTCATTTGCTGCCTCTACTAGATCCCCTTTTATAATATCCTAGCACTTGATAAAGAAAGCTTACCCATATCCATCAGGCCTAGGTACGCTATCCATCGGAATCGAAAGAGTTGTAGCTCGAACCTCCTCTTCTGTCGGTAGGGCACATATCATTTTTCCCTCCTTTTGAGAAACCGCAGGCTCAATGATGTGTGATAAATCTAGCAAAACTTCACTTTCCTCACTCGTAATAAAAGTCTAAAGATATTTCATCCCTTCTGAATGTATTTGCTGCGGTATCGATAAGATAGTGCCATCTGTATGCTTCATCTAATTTAATTTTGATTTTCTATGTCTCCATGATACTACAGCATGAAAAATTTAGAATTTTTATCACCATCAGATAACCATCTCTTTTTTAACAGTTGGGACATTTGAATTTTCTCTTTCCTTTTCCACTCATCCAGTTCGACTTTAGAGATTAAATATTCTTATTCTACATCATCAGAATATGCATCTGGTAACCTGCTCTCAAGAGCCTCAACACGTTCTTCAAGCTCCAAAATAA